AGGGAGGGCTTTATGCTTGGCACACACAAAACATATTTACAAAGCCAAACTAGAAGAAATGCCACTCGCTCAGTATGGGAAGGCTCAGCGCTCGAATGATTGTGAAGGGTTTGCAGGCTTGAATAAGATTCGGTGTAATTTTTACCAAACTTTGGGGCGCCACCAGAAACCAAGATATCAGGAAAAATGGTATCGTCCAAAGGTGGTAGATTCACTAGGCCCCAACATCCCTTAAAGTAATAGACATGGGGTCAAGAGGGAAAATAAAGGTATTATACTCGAAAGACCAAAAACTCAAAGCAATCGAAAAAAGTGCTGAATCAAAAGTAGGGGGGCGAATAGAGATTTCTAACAAATCAGAAATCTTAGCGTTATCAAAAAGTGCCTTAGTAGGACCATGACCCACAAGACGAGCATGCCACCTACGGAAAGCTACATCAGATTTAGGTCAAGTGCGAATACCTCTTTCGTGAAGTGGCCCCAGCGGCAGAGAGTTTAGAAATGGAGGGCCTTGAGTACAAGGAACCAGCTGACCCACCGCCGCCTGTTCAATTGCCTCTGCATTGTTGAAGAAAGGACCTAAGTAGAACTCATTGCGTTCAACATCGGCGGGCGCGAGAAAACTCGGAGTTTTGTATGGACGACTCAGAAGTTTCTGAAAGTCATCAAAACTAAAGGAGTCGCTAGCTTGAGATTGTGAAGTAGCCATTTGAGATGGAACGAAATTTTTCAGGGTTATGTAGCAGGGAAGCAAAAGATGAACAGTAAATCGTGGGAGGGACGCGAAAAATTTGAGGCGTGATTTAGTGGTGCAGTGAAATGGCATGTTTGGAGGTTATAAGGGTTTGCAAAACTACGCACCTTTTTAAGTTATGGAAGAAAACAATGATTGAAATTCTTGAAAATCTCGAATGTTGCTGGAAACACAAAGTGAATATGGCAAAATTTAATAATTATTATTAATTCTGCCATATTGGGGGGTAATTGTTGACACATAAAAATTCAGTCAAAATCGAACGGCCCAAGGAATGAAGCTCAATTGGAGGATCCCCAAATCAGATAGCCCAAAGAACGAAACCTAATCAAACAATTCAAGATGAAGGCCCAAATAGGGAGGCCCAAGAACGCGGTAACGCCATCACCCAAGTTTGCAAGTCGCCCAGAATCTGAGCGAATGGAGTGCCATGCAGTCGCCCAGAGTTGTTACTCTATTCTCGTCCAAACCTTCAAATCGCCCAAGGTCTTAACAAACATAAAGCGTTGTGGTTATCAAGAAATGCAATCATTAAAGCAGTTATTAAAGCAGCCATATCACGTTCTACGATTTAAGGAATTCAATCGAAAATGGTTGAACGACGAAGAGTAATGGCAGCAGTTAAAAGAAGGCAGTTTTCATGACAAGCTGGCCATTATGAGGAAAGTGGGCAGTTGCAGAACGATCAAGCAGTTTTTAGGCGGTTGATCACAAAAAAGATCATCCATGGAGTATAAAAGGAAGAAAAGACATAGAGCAAAGTACCGAATCAAAAATTCTCGAACAGAGAACGTGTAATTTTAATTTCCTTAGTTTCAGACTTAAACACTTTTTTCAGTAACTCGTGTGCTTGCGCCCCTTGAAGACATTTTGTTTTTTATTTCCAATTGTAAAGTCATCGCCAATAAAAGAACATCCCTTTTTGGGACTTTATTTCAAGAGGTTTGTCCCTTACACAATCGTCTGGTCCCTTTTAATTGTTAGCGACTAACCCGCGAAACAGTATCATTTATGATGCTAAATTTATTCTATCAAACCCGCCCTTAAATTATAGACCAACAAACACGCCCTTAATTTATGCCCCCAACAAATATGCCATTAACTTGAGGCAAAATCTCTAAAATTATGTCTATTCTTATTCCAAACAAAACACGTCTAACACCAACCAATTTGATTGTTATTTTCTGTTGTTATTACCTATTTCTAGATACCACAAAACCTTGTTCAAATAGAAAAAAAATTAAAATCACATTCTTGAAACTTCTTCAATGGTTCTTGATACAAATACATCTCACATGGGATTAGTATGAGTAGTGAGCAATGTCATTTGTTTAAGCATGATTGATAATTGTTCGTGATAAAGTTTGTCGAATACATAATAAATGGGGAAAAGATGGAATGGAACAGTCCTCCGATTCAAAAATAAAAAATTTCAGATTAAACTCGACAAATCAACTATACAAACATGGTTGTGAGAAGATCATTAAATCAAAGGACACGAATTTCAATCTTGTACTGCATAATGTTAGGCGTGATAGGAATATGAAGGGTTTGATGAATTAATTGGTTATGTATAGCTCTCTAGATTTTTTAACTTTGTTTTGACTTGGGCAGCCCTAGTGTAGTTCCAAGCCGCTTCATTTTTCATTCTAGATTGCATTGCTTTTGCTTTTGTTCAAACATGTCATTTCATGACACGCAATAAGTTTTTTCATATATGCAAGTGGTCGCCTCTTATTCAACACTCAACATTGTCCAGAAAAAGTACACATATTACGATATCAATATACGATATGTTAATCGATTGATTGATAATATACATAATCAAAAACTCTTATTATGAAACCTACAAAAATGATAAGAGTTATCACTTGCAGGAAATGAATTAGGAGATCATAGACGATAAAATCTCTAAAAATTTATACACAATTGATTTATATTTCAAGGCAAAAAAGGAGGATCACTGTGATTATCACTTGAAATATTTAAAAGATTTAGCAAGAATTGCATCAAATCGTAAGGCGTTACAACAGGACTAACATTACCTTGATGTTTAAGATGAAATATCTTGAAAAATAATTTCAATGTCGTCGAGTTCTAGAACATAAAAGACAAGGTTTACAGTTTCAATATTCAACCAGCAAGTTTGCTTGTTGTTTCCAATAATCATTTTTTTAAAGTTAATATCTGATTTAGAAATGGCACTGATGGAGAAACGTGAATTGGGGGATTTAAAAAAAAAAAAAAAAAAAAAAAAAAAATGGTCAGTCACACAATGAAGCTGCTGATATACTTTTGGAATTAGGTTTATTTTAAGAAGCATAAACATAATTCTTACATAATCAAGTATATTTGGTTTTATAAATATAACGTAGCTAATTATGATTTTTTTTCTTGTTTTATAAATGATATAGATATGAAATTTTCCATTTCCAAATTAACACTATATCTACCTATTTTGCTTTTTGGCCCAATTCAATTGGCTTGATTGAATTGCTTGTAAATTTTCTCTAAACTGCAAGGTTAAGTTTGTGAAGTATATAAACAATTAAAACCAAAAAATTTAATACTCAAACCCATCAAAAAATAATAATAAGAATAATAAATCATGTCATAATTTTGTGAAATAGTTGAATTGGCAAAAATAAATTGGATTCCACAATATGTAAACAAAACTGCTACAGATACAATTACTTTGATAGCAACTATAACAGCTCTCTCACATTAGAGAGTGAGGTCCGCGATTAAAATAATCGTGGACCCCATGTTTGTGTGAGTGTTCTGTTATTATTTTCCAACAAAACTTGTGCATTTCAAACTCACTTATAAGTAATTAACGTTATTACGTAAAGTATCAAATTTTGAGATTTTAACCTTATTTTATATCTAATCCCATCATTATAAATTCAATCAACCTCAATTCTAGTTTTTTTTTTTTTTCTTTTATCGGAGTACAATCATTTTTCTTGAACTCACGAGGAAATAAAAATGAGAAGTTCATTATTTCCATTTTGGTTAATCTTCTTGTATTCCATCAAAGATTGAGACTTAGTCCAAAGTCACATTAATCAAGAAGTTTGGCCAAAGGAATTAAATTAGGTCTACCTAACCATCATAGCTAATAAAAACATTGGCATAGGACAATTGGCAAAGTCTTCCGCTCGATGTCTACAAGAACAAAATGCAAAGAGCGAAGAATATTACTTAGAAACATGTATTAATAACAAAATTAAATTTATAGGTAGTTGAATTTGTCAAAGTAGTAATTAATAACTATTAGTTTTTATTTAAATTTGTACATTATTGAGAAAGAAGAACTGGTAATTATTAGTTTTTATTTAAATTTGTACATTATTGAGAAAAAAGAACTGGGCTAGAGGTGGGACACGTAAAATTTGACCCATAAAATAAACTCTTGTAATTGATGAGTGAGAAAAAATTATCTTGTATTTGTCAATGTTCTGGAATGTTCATATCTGTACAAAGAAAATATGTGCCAAAACCAATCAAATTCAACTTGATACCTTATAAAAAGATTTCTTGATTTGTTTTGTCAACCTATGTAATAAGTATACAAATTATTTTCGGAGAATTATCAAAAATGTCACTTTTTTCTTATAATACACAAAAAACTTGTACGTGCACCTAATTTTTATCAAAAATATCATTTTTTTATAGGAAATGTCCAACTTACCCTCATTTTAAATTTTAAAAATCTGTTTTTGATTTTAAAAGATAAAAAATTTTGGACCAAAAAACAAAAGGTAAAGAAAGAAAGAAAGAGGTAAAGGCGGCGGCAACAATGGCCGCCAGCGACGAGGAGCCCAGCAGCGAGCACCGCATCTACCACAGAGGAAGCGGGGCTCGCAGCCGCCGCCCAGAGCAGCGGCGAGGGCCACTGCTGGATGTCGCCGACGGCTGGACCACAGAGTATAAGGAAAAAAAAAAAAATTTCCAAGTTTTCAGCAGCAAATTTGGTGTTGGAGACGTGGGCCTGTTGTGCAAATTCATAATTTGCAGGCCCCTGCTTGAAAATTAATATATAAGATATTCAAATAATTCAGAACGTCAAAAATGTCCTAGAAAATGTAAATGGTGACATTTTTAATAATGTAAAATCAAATTTTGACACCCAATGAAATTTTCTCATTATTTTTCTCTTATAGATTCGTAAACCCATCTAGAATCTGTCATCTCGACTTAAGAAGACGAGCTTCAAGACATATGGAAGTACAAATTAAAGGAATGAACAAAAAATAAACTCCATTTTATTCAAACGAATCAAAGAATTTCAAATGTTACTAATTTGAATTGTACAAGTATTTAAAAAATAACGTCTCTAATAGAGGTCAAATTACATTTAATTATTATGTTCACAAATATTTTTTCACATGGAATATATGCATGGCCGGCCATTCGGAGGCTCATGTAACTCTTTCAACGACCGTGGGATGACGGAGATGACTCCGATAATGTTCCATACGACCACGTTTTTGTACTTTCTGAAACCTCAGTTCCAAAAAATAAATCCGACAGGTAATTATTCAAATCTTCAGGGGCATATCTAACAATTGATTCCACCCCAATCTCCCTCCGGAACATCCCCCTGTGCTTCTCGTACAAGACCCGATAACCCGGAACTATTTTTTTAGCTAAAGAAATTTTGATTTCTTCTCCGAGCTTCCGATCGGGTATAAGCCACCCGCTTTGTTTTCTGTAAGTCTCTTCGAAACCCGAATTAAATAGAGAAAAAATTTCTTTCACTTCCTGTGGAGAAAACTCAGCCGTTGGATTTTCGGGCAATGACGTTAGTACTTTAATCCAACCCGTCCTTTCGTAGTTACCGGCATATTGTTTGACCTTTGACTGGTGCTTCGAAATCCATTCGTATCCCATCAGGAGCCTCAGACTCGAGTTCCGGACTTTGGAAACGACATAGTTTAAGTTGTTTGCCAAAAACAGATAAGATAAAGCCACGTCATTGTATAGTGTGGCCTTGCCATCGAGCTTGCATAACAGGACTAAAATCAGCCACGCCAGGCGGACGGTGACGGAGGATGAAGTATCTTCCACGGCGCCATTGGAAATGGGACTCGAGAAATAAGATTCTGGCAGCGGAGTTTGAGCGTTCAATGGCCAGTCCGCCAATATGTCCGACACCGCGCCGCTGTAATCTCCGAGGAAAACCAAATAATTCATAACGTAACGAGTTAAGGGATGAACGCCGCCGGTTGAAGGCGTTTTGGAGGAGTCCTTCTGAATGGCTAACTCGAACTGAGTGAGCATAACTCGTATTGACTCACCAAGTTTCACGAGTGAAGCCACCGCCTGAGCTTTCACTGCCGACAGTGAGTCGTAAGAGAAAATAATTTCTATCTCGGGCCAAAGATCTGAGATTGCTTCGTAGAGATCAAGTGCGCGAAACATTTTCTCTGGTGATAATATTTTCTTCGATTTGGCGAAATTTTCTGGGAATCCAAATAAATTAATTGCAGCATCTCTCGAGATTTCTGCAAAACACGATTCTGCAATTTTTTCTGAAGAAGAAAATACTGAATCACATAGAATTCTCTCGCCGTAAAACAGATTTTTTACAGCACTTTTCACGGCGTGTAACCAACTTTTGATTTTCGCTTCAAGAACATTCCAATCCAATTTCTGAATTTGAGAAGTGTTCATCTTTTCAACTCCCAAATTGTACAAACTCTCATCAATCATCGATTTTCTGATTAAATCGTAAATTCTAACACATTCTTTTCCATACCCAGATCCAATCATACAATCCGCTATGCTCCTCAAATCCGCAATAGCCAAAGAAGAAGCTTTATCAGCTTCAGATACAGAATTCCCATCTTCAATAATTTCATCACCTTCAATTTCATCTTCCAAGAAATCTGAAAGACTGGACCTGGTCGAACCTCTCGAGTTCCGGGCCGAGACAGATTCAGCATCAAGAACATTTCTGTTTGAAGACAAAATAGAATAAAACTCCTTTTCCAACCTCTTCATTGCAACTTGCATCAATCTTTGCGCTCTGATGAGTTTTTCAGAGCTCGAATTTATCTTTACGTAGAAGTGCATGGCGTTTCTCAAGCCAGTCACCCCTTCGATAAATCTTTCGGCTTCCTTTCTATCATCACCAAAGAGAGTGGACATTTTTCGGTATGTTGGACCATCCAAATCCCATTTGGTGACTATCATTTCAGCGTAATCAATGTTTTCCTCCATTATTGTTTCGGAGAAATTACGAGGAGGTGTAAAAGGAGGAGAAATAGAGTGCTGAGATTGTAAGGGAGAAGAAGGTCTTGATTTCGTCATCTTCTTTTGTGTGTGTCTGTGTTTATGTATGAATATTGTGTCGTTGAGTTGATAGCGTTTAAGAAGAACAAGTAATGAACGGAAACGGAGAGTTCTGGATTTGCTTGCCAAAATGTAGAATGGGACGAGGGGTATATATAGAGGTGTGTGAGGTTTGACTTCGCAAAAGAATGGTTGAACAAAAAGAACGCGGTGCGGGCCGCGGGCGTTTTTCATTGGTAAGAAAAATCTTCGTTTAGTATGTGGGGTGGGTTTAGTAGGGTATGATGGGGTCGTTTTCAGAAAGAGGTCATAAGATCACGTGATGAGTTATCCATAATTTGAATAATTTTTGTCGTTTGAATTTGTATGTGACTACAATAAATAGTTATGAACTTAGATAAACAATTTCTAGGCTTTGTTCATGACGAGTGAATATGTGTTGTCTGTCTCTGGATCGTCTAACTATCCTCTAATTAAAATTTGACACATCATTATAGTTTAGAATTGTCGATAGAGTACATTTACAATCAAGATAATCTGAATTACGAAATTACTTATCATGTTAAAAAGTAACTATTAATTTTAATTATGAAATACGTTAAAGTTGAATACCCTATGGCCCAGTTTAGTATTGTTATAATCAGATTTTTAATAAATTTTTATAAATGTTGTCAATCTCGTGAAATATGTAGTTAAAATTAATTATGGACTATAACTTAAATTTTTATCAAAATTAATAGTTGACTTTGATTTAAATTAAAATCTTGATTTTAATTTTCACCAAGCATATGTGTACATACACATCAAAAACGATGGTTGGATAATTTGGGGTTGTGGGCGTTTGATAGTGTTTGACCTTTGATGAAAGTTACCATGCAAGGATTGGAAGGACTGTTGTTTACTCGTTTTAACAGTTTTGCTGTCTAATTGGGTGGCCGTTGCTAATTACTAGGAGCCCAGCTTGTCTCTCGCTGGGATCTATGTTTACAAGTTTTGACTCATTGTCAAGGATTTCGAAAAAACTATGTAAGTAGATCAATGTCGTTTTAAGGTCATGGAACTTCTTTATACACATTATTTTGATTTGATGAAATACAGAATTAAATATACCCATGTTATTCGAATCAAAGTATAAGTTTATGATGCTTTTGACCATAGGATTTTTGTGATCCAGGATAAAACATTTATGTTCTTATACTCTTTAATAATCCCGTTTTGACGCCATGTCAAGAATTGATTTGCTTTCTTTTCTTTGGCTACTAAGGTGCTTGAATTCGTCAGATTATTTCTTACCTAACTATAGATCAAGTAGTAGTTCAAAAGGTTACACTATTCGAAAATATTCATTTGTTACAAAATATAGTTTAATGTGTAAATTGGATTATTTTCAATCAAATATTTAACACGCAAAAGATTTATAAATGAATGACGACAAGAAATCTCAAGTATCGTATTTGACTAATATTAAAATTAACACTCATCTAAATGATTAAATCATTAGACAAGTATCACTTCTATTAATTTTGATATTCTTTTCAATTTCAGGACATATATTTTTTTAAGTTATTATTAATTAAATATGCTATCATCATTCTTGTCAACGCCGTTTATCAACAATAAAGAAATATATACTAGAGTTCCACGTTGAGGAAGTCTTTTTTCCTTTTATCTTTGAATTTCACTTTTTATTGTCAATTATAATGTTCTTTAATGCCACATTTTAACATTTCCGTCACGCTTTATAATTTTATATAGAACAAAATGGTCATATTCAAACGTTAGAGAAAAAAAAAAAAACAAAACATAGATTTCTAATCATATTATTACCACGTTATCTCCTCTATATATAAATTATAAAGAAATTAAAGTTTGACTAAATCAAAATAATTTTTTAATGGAACAAATGAAAGTATTAAAAGTGTTTATATTTTTCGAAACAAAATAATTTACTAAAACTGACCTATTTTAATAAACTGTTCCCTTACAAGCTGCACTGTTCGGTGAGACGTAAAAATTAAATAAAGAGATTCAGACCATTTCAAACGACATTACTTTTTAATTTGTAATTCATCACATATGGCAGAAATAATTATTTTGTGCAATTGGGAGACCTTTATCGACTCTTGCTTATTGCATAATTATCAAGAGCCTGTTGATTGTGTGAATATTCGAACAATTCATCCATCAAAGCTTGTCGATTAAGAAAATTCTCAAAAATATGACATAGTTTAATTTTAAAATTTTAAAATTACCACTACAGAAAAAGTACACGTATTAGTATTGAACATCACTTATAAGAATGTAAATATTAAATATTATTGATAATTAATTATAACAATTTCATTTTAATGGGGGTTACTGGCATGTTTTGCCAATTTTTAATTTAACTAAATTTATTTCTAAATATGCTTGTGAATAGAGTATGATTTACTTCTCAAAATAAGTTAGGATCCGTTTGATTGCAAAAATGGAATTGAATTGAATTGAAAACAAATTTCAGGAAATTGAATTGTTTAGAAATTATTTTCCTGGAAATTGTAAATTATTGTGTTTGATTGATATAATTTTTCACGTGAAAAATGTTGAAATAAAAGTGTTTTTTAGTGTTCGTTTGGCTTTGTTTTACATAAAAATTGTCAATTAAAAGGATATAATTTACTGGTATTGGGGATGAAATTTGTTTTCATTGCAAAAATAAAAATAAATCATCTATCTTTTGGTGTTCGTATTGTCAATTAAAGGAAAAAAAATTTACAATAACTCTTAGAATTTGTTTCCATTTCCCCCAAAAAAAAAAAAAAAACTGAAATTTGAGAACCCACCATACCCCATGGGAATTCATTTTCCTGAAAAAGATGGAATTGGCACTCGTATGAGCACTATTCACGAAAAACAATTGCCTAGAAAAAATGGTGTATCAAACATCCAAAAAAATGGGAAATGGAAAAGGATTTCCATTTTCCATCGAAAATATATGGTATCAAACTGTACCTTAATCAATTTCTAGTTTTCTTTGAGAAAAAAAAAGTTTATTTCTTTTAAGTTTGCTTATTTACTTGAAAATCAACTTTTTTAGCATAGCAAGCATGCATGCATGTTGATGTTGCATATAAAATATTGACCAATTTGCAACCACTAATATCGGCCAACAATTCTGACCGTTGATGAAAAGTAGAACCATCAAATGGCCTACGAAATGGACATATGATTCTGTGGACAATAATGTCAGTCAGATTTCATCGTTGTTGGGTATCAAAAAGCTAAAAAGACAATAACAGCATACTTCTAGAATGTAAGATTCAATATAAGTTCCCGTAGAACTTTCAAAAATGGTGTGTGCTTCTCACTCTTTCCAAAAAATAAAATAAAATTGACGAAATTTTTATATTTATGTATATCATGCGCTGCGAGATTTATAAGTAATTCGATTTAGTGTTTAAAAGTTGAAGCTGCTTGAAATCAAACCAAATTGTTTACTATTTAATTAATTAATTTTGTCCGTTTTGCTCAAAATATATGATTTATTAGTTCAATACTCCAATTTATGCTTCAACAAACTTATATATATGTCACTAGCTAGGCAAGTATTAACTCTATCCGGGCGTTTGTTTCCCATTTTGATAATAATGAGAATGAAAAATATTGTCGTTATTGTCTCACACAAGAAATAGAAATTAAAATTTGATGGTTTAATATGATGGATAACGGTCATATTTTTCATTTTCATGAGAAAAGAATTAGAAACAAATAGAGGCTATATTAATTATTATTTTCATACATTCGTCATGGAATGCTATAACGATAATTTACTCAAAATAAGTCTCAAATAATTCTCGAATAATAAGAAACATTATTATATACTTTTGAAACAATCGTAATCCATGACTCCACTGAGTTTGAATATTGATATTGAATAGTCAAACTTCAATAATCAGTTTGTTAATTATAATGGGGAGAATGTAATTAGGGGAGTTCATAGTCACGTCTAAGTGTTGAAAAGTTCGATTTACTTAACCCTTTTGCTTAAGTAATGAAGCATTAAATGCACACATGGATTAAGTCAATACTTAAAAGTCAAAGGAAGTTTTGATTTTGAACGCCATGTTAATAATTTTCGTTTTCTTCCCTTGAATGAGAAAAGTAAAAATACAATTAATTACGAAAAAAATTGAAAGAATTTCCTGTTTAAATTTTGGGACTAAATCTCCTAAACCATATGGTTTTGGTTTGCACAAACTTGGATCAACCTAACGGTGGACGAATATGATGAAGTAATTTTATATTTAAATTACTCAAAATGTTCCATCAAGATTGTGATTTATTTGAACAAATCAATCATGAAGTTTTGAGTCTTAATCGAATTGAATCGCTCATTCATGTTTAGTGGGGTTTGATGCCTTATTAAGACTTGATTTTTCATCTTAAAATATCAAATTTACTAAGAACAGTAATTCTCAGCTTATATATTGGTTGTTATTATCATATTTATTCATCATAGAATTTATTATTTAGCATGTCTAGCAAGATAGTATCTTGTTGGAGTTATTTGAATTTAAGTAGGCTCTAATACTGTATTAAGATCTCTAAATTCGTTCGAACCGAAAATCAGTTAAACCAATTTTACTGTTTCCCCAATTTAGTTTTTCAACAAGGAGAACTTTTAAAGGCAACCCGAGCTTGTTAACTAATTATATATTTTGTGGGTACAATGACCAGTTTTTCTAATAACCAATCAATAATTAGTTACATAAGTTCAATCGCTTTTATCTTTGACCTAGAATAGAACAAAAAATATATATCTAAACAGTTTTATTTACCTAGTCCTTTAGCCTAAGGAAGGAAATATTGACTGCACACGTGAATCATTCAGTGAGTGGATAAAGTCAACAGCTAAAGGTCAAACAAAATCTTATTTTAATTTTCTGTTACATATTAGTGGATACAATCAACCAAGATCGGTTCATGCCGGCATCTCTTCTTTGTTTTGGAGAGACTTTTTTATTTGGCCTATTACTGTTTCTTTTTATGAAAATGTCTATATTATCTTTAATAAAATTATTCTTTCTATATTGCAACATATGTACTTATTTTTTTAATTATTTTATTTTC